TGAGTCTATATAAGAGGTAAGATAGAGCCGGATAGTTTTATTGCACAAGAGTTAACGTGAGACTTCTACAGAAATGAGACCAAGCTTTAAAGATGTCCATCATATGATGGACGAAAGCTCAGTCCGTTTTCACCCGAAACAAGGGGGAAGTCTCGTGGACTGCGTCAACCTGAACATCGTACAAAAAGACAAACAGATGCAGTACTGTGGGATTCAGCCGTCCTCTTCTGCTAAGATTGACCTACGAATCTCTTCTTCATGCACTCTGTGAAATGAAAGTCCCCCCAACAGAATTATTAAGGTCTAGACTTAAGTGTTGCCTGCAACAATGCGTCAATAGTGGTAAAGTGGAGAAGTGGAAAATAAATGCACTTCTCCAATGTGATGCTAAACTCTCTAACAAATATGATATACCCAAAATTCACTTAGGATCATTAAGAATATTAAAGATTGTGTGGTTCATAAAAAATCACTATTTATTCGCAGTCAATTAAAGCAAATCCTAAGTTTCTGGAAATTTTTAAAAAAGAATTTGTATTTTTCGTTTTATAAGTGGAAATACGAGACTGCCGGTATATCATATGTGAGTTGCATTCACCATATTTCGTTTAAGGTGATAGGGGACTGGTAGTAGAATTTTCCCACAATGATATAAATACACCTCATGTTTCCACTGGATTGTACATGGCTTTGCTTTCCCAAAAATTATTTTCAAACTGGTTGCTATGGGCTGCAGATTCGACCTTATCTGAACTGGCATCATCGACACCTCTAACAGGACTCGAGACATGACAGTGTAGTGTCTAATCTCGATACACTAACCACTAACCACTAAGCCACAAGTTTCCTGTGCCACAAGACAGATGTTAATTTCAAGGAAGGTAAGGCATATTCTTATATCACATTTTGTGGTGCCGATGAAGCAAAGTTGTATTCGCTATAGCAATCGACAACATTACTTTTTTGTATGTAAAAAGATTATAGGCCGCATTTTCGTGGTTCGAGTTCTGTTGGGGATGCTGAGGAGACCTAAGCGAGGTCGAAAATGAAGTCCAGCCTGGCTGATAATAGCCAACTTAAAAGTCATATGTCGTTTGAATTTTTGGTTTTAATTTAATAGTATAGCATCAGTGAAATGTGGAGGGCAAACTTATTTGCAAGCCTTCCCACTTTGTGACTTTAATCCTCACATTTACGATGCTTTCAAAATGTCTCCGCTATTTCTCAATTTATTTTGCTCATCTCTGCCTTAGCTCTTAATGTTGGAAATTCTAACTTGGATCCTGAGAGGAACCATTCCTCTATTAGAAAAAATCTACATTCATTGTGGACTGAATTTGGAGTTACGCCAATAATTGTATAGGCTTGACTCTCACGATGTAATTGCATTCTGACCAGTTTGGGAATCAGGAATATCGAGGAACTTGTGTTTTGTTCGCCGTCAAAGCAGAGATAACTCTCATACTGGTCCTGATTCAGCGCAATTTAGCACCATATAGATTCAAAATCAGAAATTGTAAGGTTTTAATTGAATCCTTTTGAATAAGCCAGAATTAAGACTTATAAACTAACTATATTTGGGCGAATTTCGAAGAAGTGTAACAAGTAGTGATTCGTTGCTCCGAAATTCTGAATATCTAAGTTAAATGATATAAAAAAATAATCAAATTAATTTATATCCTAATTATAGATAGACCTTGTGTTCACATGCTGTAATGCGCTGTTAGACAGTAGAGAGAAATGATAACGAGAGAGGATAGTTCCCTAAGCAGCTTTGGTTTCAGAGTCATCGCACCATACGAAATCGATTAGTAGAAATCACTAATAAACTATCCTCACCAATTTTAGATAACCTTTCAGGTCAATGAGCATATTCTCAGGCTTGAGATCCCGATAGACAATGCCGTTTCTGTGCAGATAATCGAGTGCCTCGATGACACAAGCCAAACAGAACCGCGTCTGTTTGTCATCAAGATGGTGTCTACGTTGATGAAGGAGGACCATTTAATGAAATACGGTGAAGCAATGAAGAAAAAATATTAAGCATATATGTAATTAAAATAAAGGGGCAAATATAAGTAAGATGAAAAGTTATGAGTATAGAGGATTTGAGCATGTAGTAACTAGCAAACAAGAATTTAAGGAGAAAATAAAGAGAGCTTGATAACATGCCTAGCTGGAAATCAAAAAAAGTGGATCTGGCTATACAAATCTAAAGCTGTCGTTATCCATTTTTATCTATCCAGCTGTTTATCTTATCATATGTATGTATAAATAAATATATATAACTTTACATCTGAACAGAGTAATCAGAGCCATTTAGGTCAGTATTTAAGTTTCGTATTCGCACAATCATTATCGGAAAATATTATGCTAGTGCATAAGAACTTAATACGGTTTAACAAAAAGTACGACTCGTTACCAGTATGAAAAAGCGATAGAAGAGGGCAAAAAAATGGCAGGAATCTACCTATACCAAGCAAAAGTTACGGGATGACGCAAGAATGCTATAAGAGTTAGAGGATACTGGTTGCAGCGCTTTTAGTTATCCCTTCTGTGCTGTTTCATAGCGAACAGGAG